TTTGGCTTTAATAACCTTCTAAGAATAGATGAGATATGTAATCTCGTTTGTTGTTATTGTTTTGTCGGGACATTTAACATATTGATAGAGTGTGGAATATGTAATCTTGTTTGTTGTTATTTGTTTTTGGACATTTAACATATTGATAGAGTGTAGCGTGTATTATGTGTTTCTGTATCTAGCTGATGAATTAATATGCCGTAGTTGAATGTTTTAGCTCATGGTTTGATCTGACGAATAAGCTATGTCTTCCAAATATCTAATGTAATATTGTGCTATGAATGGTTAATTATGGTAGGTCCTGTTGCTGAAGACATGTTCCATTGGCAAGCGACAATTATGGGGCCACCTGATAGCCCTATGCGGGAGGTGTATTTTTGGTTACCATTCATTTTCCTCCAGATTATCCTTTCAAGCCCCCGAAGGTAATTTTTATGTGTGTGCAGATAAGTTTTTATTATATAGTTGTAATAAAGCTTAGATTTTATAGATTATTTTTTTAACCTTAACAATGTCTTGTATCATTTGTTGTTTAGGTGCTTTTAGGACTAAGGTGTTTCATCCAAACATCAACAGCAATGGAAGCATTTGCCTCGATATCCTTAAGGAACAGTGGAGTCCAGCTCTTACAATTTCAAAGGTTTGACCGTTTAAATCTTTTAATTTATGTATTATGATGCTATGTGTTTATGATCATGTTATTTTTGCATTTGCATTTAACTATGCCACATGGACACCTAACAGAAGTTTGTGAGGATCGATACCGGCAGAATGTTAGAGATGATTGTCAACTTGTGTTGGCTAACTCTTTTGTTTTTGTAAGAAAGCCATTTTTGATTGTTGGAGACCACACAAGAAATGTATACTGGCCATGCCTTACCTACCAATATAGTATGTAGCTGTGGATCCATGAATACTGAATTTCGTAAGTGAACTAGTATGTTTAATTGTTTATTGAGATCTTTTCTTGTCCGTTGTCTTTTGCCACCTATGCAACACTAAAGGCTATTCACCTCAGACCCTCTCTGCTCAGAAACTCCTAAACTATAAACCTGAAAAATCATCCATGTGGATAGTGGAAGAAAGAGGGAAAGGAAATACTGTCTTGTATCTCCTTTTTACTCCCATTCATATATTTATATTTGGTTTCCTATAAGAGAAAAAAAAGGTGGCCTTCTCACTTTGATTTTGCAAAGAATGATGGAAAGTGAAGAAAGTGTCTTTCTCCATCTTGTAAGCATTAAAGGAGAGTGAGAAAGAGATTAAAAGAGTGTTTTAGCATTTCTCTTGTTATAATTATACGTTTATGCCATGAGTGATAGTCTTCATTCAGCATTCCTAACCTATGCTTCTGTTAACATTAGAACTATTTAGTATGCTGAGTTGTATGCTAAATGTGACATCTGTGGCTGATATTGGGATTGGATGGGGGCAGATGGAAGGAAATCTTGTGCTGTTCACCTAATGAATCTGTTTAAACTTCGTTGATTTTATGGCAAGATACTAATTGCTTGTTGATTACCTAACTATAATCTGAATAAATCTGTATCAGGTCCTGCTCTCTATCTGCTCATTGCTCTGACCCAAATCCTGAGATCCTCTTGTACCCGAGATTGCCCACATGTATAAGGCGACAGGCAAATATGAAGCCACTGCACGCGCTGGACTCAGAAGTATGCCTGGGATGACAGTTGTAGGATATTGCAAAACTGGAACCATAATTTGTGGAGTATGTTTGGCTTGTTATGCTTTGTTTTTCCAGTGGTTGTAGAAGGATTGGGGTATGTTGGTGTGTTTTGATACAAAGAAACTATATATTGGGTTCCCGGGTTGTTAAGGCTAGATGTTTTTATGTTTATGACCCATTCCAGTTTCTTGCTTAAGCTCCTTTCATGCTCCTATCGCTGAATTAGTGTTATAAACAGACCAAAACTAGATGGTAATGACTATCAGTTGCACACATCCATTTCAAGATTTGAAGAAGTAATTCACCATAAAGCCTCTAAATCTAGTTTCTACTTTGGGATTTAAACTATTAACAAATTGTATTTACTGTCTGATTTTTGTCTGACGCCTTTAATATTATTGCCTATTGGTACAAGTTTTTTGTACAATTAATTATATAAGGTGGACATATCCAATACGCTTATTTTTAAAAGAGTTATGCCATGACAATAACTTATTCTTACAAACCTTTTTTACACTCTCGATGTAGCACTTGACCTAGTACTATAACATCAGTTTCATCACACCCAAGATGTAACATGATTTTGATTAGACCAAAGAAACAGTCATTCTTTATATGGTTGTTCCTTCGGGAATAATGTTGTTCTTTAAAAGGTCAATTATTCTTTACAAAGAAATGATTGTTATTTTGCAAGAGACACCTGTTCCTTATGAAGGAACGATCGCTCTTTCATAGGGGACGATTGTTCATTCTAAAAGAAGGATCGTTCATTCTAAAGGAACGATCATTTGTTTTTTATAGTGTTTTGGGTGTCTTGAGTATAGTGAAAACTAACGTGATAGTGCTAATCTATTGACACATTGGGATTATAAGATAGATTTATGAAAATGGGTTATCCGCATAGCATTAGTCATAACTCATAAGTAGAAGGGAAAGTTGGGTGGATTGCCAAGTGCCTATCAAGTCCAGTGTCCAGCATTGACACGTGCGGTTGTGGGATTGATGTCCTAGCTCAAACTAGAAATCCTAGCGTTGTTTAACAAGACAAGACAACCAATGCCATTACCAACTTCTCTGGCTTTCACTTTTACAGCCTGGCTTTCTCATTCTAGAATCTCCAACTACTATATCCCTTTAATTAATTATAATCTTTTAAATAAGGAGGAAATTCAAATCTGTCCAGTGCCCATCTCTTTATTAAGTTTTGCTTTGAAGATAAATTTGGAATATAGTTTATTTTATGTAAATATGATCACTTATAATTCCAAACTTATCCTAATGTTGTCTCTTAGTCCTTTTTCTATTAGCATGGGTGGAAACATTCTAACCAACACTCCAAACTTTATGAATATTAAGTAGGGTTAATTAAATTGAACTCTAAAACCCCCCAATAGAAGTTCTATCATTTAAATGTAACGATACAAATTGTAGAAATGATATTTAAATTAAACGTTTATCAGTTTAGGTCAAACAGGCACGTAGCCACATAGAGAGTTGTGGGTTCAATTGAACCCACTTAACTTTTTAAAAATTCTAAAAAAAGTATTAATATTTTATGAATTTTATAATTTTAACTTAACTTAATTTCATATTGATCTCATGAATTATTAATTAACTGTTTATTAACTATTCTTTCTTCTTCATTTCCTCTCCTTTGCCCTTATATTATATGTTTCTTTTGGTTAAATACTCAAGAAAGGTCATTCCTTTGGATCACAAGGTAAGATTATGCTCTTTTTTTTTTTTTTTTTTTACTTAAACTTCTTTTCTTTTAGCTTTCTTAATTGATGAAAGATCATCAGCTATGAGTTTTTGCTGAATTTAATAAATGAGTTTGAAATCGGAAGATTAAATTACTAAATTTTAATGTGGGTTTTGATTTAATCTTGTTTATATTGAGGTATAAGTTAATTAGTTGTTGTTTTAAGTTGAGTTTGATACATTTTGGCTAGTTATTAAGTTAACTTTGAATGGTTTAAAGAATTAATGAAACCCTAAGTTGTAAGATTTAGGGATTATGCAACGTTTTCAAAATATGAAAAACCTTTGAAGACAATTGTAGAACTGATAATTTGATATGTATAACTTTTAAAAGTACATTTTTTATATTTATTACTTCAGTATATATTTTATTGTAAATTTATCAATTTTGATATTTTGAACCCACTGACTCAGAATCCTGGTTACATCCGGGAGGTCAAACCATATAATGTAGTATCAAAATTAGAGGTGGGCAAGGGACCAGTCCCTTGTGGGCCCAAGCCTGGGCCTGTTTGGGACTGGTCCCAAATGGGACCAGTCACTCATGTCCCAGGCCCATAAGAAAAACCAGGACCCGGACCAGGCCTAGGCCTGGTCGGGACTGGTCCCATGGGCCCAGGATCGGTCCCATGGGCCTTGGATAATTTCATTTTCCCTCCTCAATTTTTGTATATTTTGGGGGCAAAACGAAATTTTATAAAGGGTTTTTAGTATTTTATAGGGGTAAATTTATAAATTTTATAAATTTTTTAGACCTGGAAGATTTTTTTTTTTTTTTTAATAAATTTTGTAAAATTTCATTTTAACCTTCGTAATTTATATTTATTTTAAAATTAATAGGGGGTTTTATGTAATTTGACAGGGGACTACATTGAAAAAATACAAAAAATTTTGGGCCCAGGCCTAGGACCGGTCCTAGGCCCGGGCCTTGGAGGAGGGCCCAGTGGAGGGCCCGGGCCCTCCTCCTTAGGCCTGGTCCCGTTTTGGGACCAGGCCTCCTAAGTCCGATCCTCTCAAGGACCGATCATAGGATTGGGTTTTAAAGCTGTGCTTTTGGGCCCGGTCCCAAATGCCCAGCTTTAATCAAAATGATAAACCCACATTAAATATATTTATAATAACTTTTTCATGAAATGGAGTCCAGCCTACAATACCACTATTTCCATACATTCTCATATCCCAAAGGGCATTACCGTAATTTCCATCACAATCTCCACGTTTTAAATGTAATAGAACCGTCCAATACTCCGACCTTGGTAATCCAGCTAATTTGATCCCGTTACGTACAAAACTGATGTTTTTGACTGGCTGTTTGTTTATTAACCGTATGAAACACGTTTAATTTGACGAAAACACCCCCGTCACACCACCCCACTCGCCAAAAGCCTAAGCTTCTTCGAGGGCATTTCCGGAACATCGTGGGTTCTCTTATGACAAGAAAGGAAAGTGAATGGTGCTAACTATTAAATACGATAATATCTGAAAAATCAGATGGTTATTTATTTAAAAATATAAATATATTATATAAATTACACTCCCCCTTCCCCCCCCCTCCCGGCCCCCTCCTCCAAGTTCAATCCACACACAATCAAATCGATGTTTATACTGTCGTTTGGTAACTCTGATTAATCATTATTATTATTCCTCTAATCGTCGTTTTATTTTCGCTAATTTCTTCAATTTATCCTTTTGATTTTGTTTCGGTTTGCTCAACGTCGTTGTTAGGGTTTTGATCCGATTACGATTCGCTATTCCAATTCTCGCTCTCGCTCTATTTGCTGAGTTATATATTAAGCGGCAATACTCCTTTAATCTTCAGGTGATAATTTCGGTTCTGGTTGAACGTTCGTTGTGTTTCTGTTTTGTTTATTTCGTGATTATAGATGCTTCTATTGCCGTTGTTCACATTTTTGGTTATCTGTTATTACTTTTGAATGTTTGTTATTGTTAAGATAGAGTTAATCTGCTGAGTAAGCAGCTTAGATTCGCTTTTAACAGAAAGAAAACCATTATTTGTGGTCAACGAAGCTGAAATTTTGATGGGTTTATTTTTTATAATTTTTTATTTTTTTTATTGTTGTATTTTTATTAAGTAATCTGAACCTCGCATGTGGTTATTGTTAGATGTAATGGATTATATTATTAAACAGTATTTAAAGTTGTGTTGTTATTGATGTCTTTTGACGAATAGTGGTTCTAACTTATGATTTACTTAAATGAGACCTAAACTTTGAATCATGAATGAACATTTGAAGGATTTTAGTGCTTTAAGTGTTGTTTTGGTCTTTATCTGGGATTTAGTCAAATTGATGGTTTTCAATTTTCAGGGTCTGGCGTGTTACTGCAGTTAGGATATACGAATTTGCTTTATAAGCATCAATATGGGACATTGCTTGACTAAGGTGAGTGTTATGTTCTGGTGTTTGTTGAACTTTTCATAGAAGGAAAAATAGTTGTTTTGATTTCTGCCTTTTCAAGAGTTCCTGACTTTTGTTCTGGCTTGGCCTTTAAAGAATGGATACAACCTTAAAACATGATATCGTACGATTTGTGGGTTTTTGATTATGACTTTTATTAATGTTCATGGTGCTTGTAGAATCAACAAGACAAAGACGAGTCTGATCATCATGTTGATTTTGCTGGTGCAAATGTGACTGTCATTACTACCAAAGAGAGCTGGGACCAAAAGCTATCAGAAGCTAGTAGAGATGGCAAGATTGTAAGTATTTCATCATATTTTCTTCCAGCAATAGATGAACAATAGTGAATACTATTTAGGCACTTAATTATCATTTTTTCCAACTGGTTGGGTGCTATGTTTTTTGACTGAACTGATATAAATTTTAGTGAGTTGTACTAACCTTATTCATATACTGAGGGTGTACCAGCAAGTCTAAGCCACATGTCAAGAATGGAGCATACTGGCTTAGGCTTTTCAATGGTCCGCGGTTGGAGCCCTTATTAAAACATGGTCCCATATAAGTCTCTTTTGGTCTTAGATATGTAGAAAATTGATAACATTCTTTACACTTGCATGAAGGAATACCATCATTTGACTATGAGCTTGGAATAATCCAAGAACTGGTTCCATTTTTGTCTTGTTTGGGCCCATGGAAACCAATGTGCAAGTCCTTGCTCTGTCATTACTTACTTTGTCATCGTGTTTTCTTCTCCTGCATGAACTGCTTCCTGCTGATCAAATACTCATGTGCTGAACCTTTTTTTTTTTTATTTTCCTTATATGGATACAGAATCATGGTGTGCAGCTACTTCCATTAAGCATAAGGATTTAATATCTGATGACTCTTCTTTAATGAGTTTCTTTTCTGTATATGCTTGAATAACTCTTCTTTAATCAGTTTCTTTTCTGTGTATGCTTGAATAGGTGGTTGTAAACTTCAGTGCTACATGGTGTGGTCCTTGTAGAATGATGGCACCATTTTATCGTGAGCTATCCGAGAAGTACCCTTCTTTAATGTTCCTGGTGGTAGATGTTGATGAACTAATTGTAAGTAATGGAATGACTCTTTAAACTTTGAAGAATATAGCTATAATCTACCTATAACATTTTATCTTTAAATGCCTGCTTTTGCTGTTATATTAACTGTAAAAGCTTGTAACTGACTTGCAGAATCAAATTGTGAATTATTCAGCATCTGACCAAATAAGCTGAATTTTGTAAATGGTTTTACTTTTTGTAGGACTTCAGCACTTCATGGGATATCAAAGCCACGCCTACTTTCTTCTTCCTTAAAGATGGGCAGCAAGTTGACAAGCTGGTGGGAGCGAACAAGCCAGAGCTACAGAAGAAGATAATTGCTGCTTCAGACTTAGTTCCGCACGTTCAAAATTAATTGTTATAATCAATGTCTCTGTTTCAGCCAGAGGCCAGTGGCCCTTGTAGGTATGTTGAATGGTTGTTTGAGTACTTCATTGTGAGAATTTTTCATTTGTATATTAATGCAATTTTCATGTAAAAATTAGGAATGCGTATGGCAACTTTATCCCTGTTTTTGTGGACTGTTGAATTAGGAATGTAAGAGTTATTTTCATTGCAACTATTTAGCCATTTATATTGTGTCATTCTGAGAGACCAAAGACCGGAAAAGAGAAACCTACAGTCATTGTTTTGTTGTTTGAAGAATTAGTGTTAAAACAACTGGAGACTTCTGTAATCTTGACTTCCTGGACATCCTATAACCATCTGTCTCTGGTTCTGCCTTGTGAGGAATATAGGCAATTGTAGAAAACAAGAAAAGAGCACATGAGGGAACTTTAAGTATCAAACTATGGGAAATTAATTATGTGGGGCCTTTGAGAGATCAAGTTTTTTGTTGACACCCCATAGTTTGAGAAACTATTTATAACCACCTCTTTCTAGGGAGTTTCTGTCACTTTGCGGGGGTTTTCATGGGTTTATTACACTGCCACCCCTGAGTTTAGCATGAATCACCCCTCCCCCCTCCAATAAAAAAATGAATTAATTAATTAAAAAAAATGGAAAACTAACACTATTACCCCAAACAACGCTTTTGTCAATTAAATGGAATGTGTAACAGCTAGAAAAGATATTTTGAATAAACAATTGGATAATTTTGGAAAATAGTTGGCTGTTTTAATCAAAATGTTTGGTCATTTTGAATAAACAATCGATTGTTTTGGTGCTGTTGTAGTTCTTATACGTTAAAAAGACAATAATTTATTTAAAATGTCGTGTACTAAGGGTGTTCAAAAAAATATAGAAACTGAACCGAATGATTATTTGAAAAACCAGTTCGGGTTCGGTTTAAAGAAATATAAAAACCAATTTTTTGGTTCGATTATTGGTATATGAGAATATGAGAACCAATTAATCGAAACTGGTTTATTATAAAATTTTTAATATAAAATATATATAATATTAAATTAAAACCGGTTTAAAATTGGTTTTTTCCTTAACTAGTTCGTTTCAGCTCAAGAAAATTCTTAAATTGAAAAACCGATTCGATTCACAAAATGGGTTAACCAGTTTTGAATATCCCTAAATGTGTACCCTTTTATCCCATGGCATTAAGCTGACAGAACATTAATATGGGCGTGACAGTATTAGTCTCCCCAAACTGGGGGGAAACTATTACCACACCAAACATTAGTGGTGGGGATGTAATTACTAATTAACCCAGGTTTTTATTGATTTTAATTAGAACTCATTTCTTAAGAGGGGTTTTAATAGTTTTCAAAAAATTTGGGTGTCAATAAGAAATCTTGACCTCTTTGAGGTTTAATTTAATTTAATCCCCCATCACTAAGGACCGGCATTAGTGCCGCTTGCAATGTACTAACACCACTTAATTGAATAGAATATATATTCTCTTCACACCCACCCACCCACCCACCTACCATTCATCATTATCCCTCAACTCTTTCTTCTTAAATCCATACTTATCTCTTTGAACCCATTTATTTTCTACAATTTACATCAAAACCTGCTGCTGGTAAATGAAAGTTTTTTAATTTTTAATTTTTTTTAATTTTCTGTGAACGGGGTTATTCGACACCTTACGCACAGCTCGACTAATCCCTTATAACCTTAAAGTTAACGATTGGACAAACCCTCTAATAACCACCTATATTAACAATCGAGAGGAATGATAAACGAAAGTTGATGCAAGTTTTTTCTATTAAGATAATAAAAAAGACATTTCAATCCATATTTTCTGATCATCAAATTTTATTTGCAATATTAATTTATTAAATTATTACCAATGGAGAAAACATTTATTTTTCCATAAGCATGTTTAACACAAAAGATTCTTTAAATAAGAGGAGATTTAATTTAGAGATAGATTCATATTAACACTATATTACCAAGGAAGAAAACATGTAATTCTCCCTAAACATGTTTAAGATGCTAAATCATTCAAATATGAATTAAAAACTTTTTACTTGAATTATCTCATTGGTTGGCCAGTCTTTTTGAACAGTCAATACTTGTTTTTTTAGTCCAAAGTTCACACTGTAAACTACCCATCAATTAGGATTTTTCAGTTTCAAGTATAAATCAGAGGAGTTGTTTATGTTTTAGGTGGGATTAAAGAAAGGGAAAATCACTTAAACCAACCCTTTTTTAGGGTTTTAAAAAAGAAGACAGCATATGCAACCATTAACCACCATGTTTTGACTCTTTCCTATGGCTAAACCAGTCATGTCAAGGTGTCTTCTTCTAGACCCAACTTAGAAAAATAATATACAAAAGTGGAGGAGGTCATGTTCTCTGTCATTGCCCTCTCTATTTTGGCTTTTTTCCTCAATAAATGATACAAGTGGAGGTACCTCCTCAAACGAAATCGTGTGGACCCTTAAAATCACCTGTCACCCATTACATATTTGCATTTTTCTAATACACCAAGTTGGCCCATTGCCCCCACTCAATACAGCTCTACTACATGAGGCAAGCACCAAGATGTTTCTTGTGGCCAATTATACAACCTTTACCATTATTACTCCCTCTCTTTTAACTAGGAAAATCTAAAGTCTTCTCTCCATTCAACTCTTTGATCCTCTTTTACCAATATAAATATCCATTCAAACAAGAGAAACTAAACTGTATATGCATCAGTTCAATCACGCGTTTCATCCTATTGGCGAGTTTTTGTCTGGAAATACTACATGCAAACAATAATTTAAGACAGATTTAAGTAATAAATTAGGTAAAGATGAAGCATAAGTCAACAATAAAAAACAATGGCCGCGTATCTGCGAGAAACTAAATAGACTGAGTCACACAATAGACAGCTCTACCACTAACACCTTCCCACCTTTGCCAGCTTATGCAAATATCCTTCCTACCAATTGGTATATATTTCTCTGGTAAGAATATAAAAATTGGAAAAAAGCTAAATTGTCTTTGTCTTGCATAAATGGACTTCCTATAACAACAATCAATGAGGACCGCATTCACATGTAGCTGACTATTTTTGTTGTTCTTTTCAGTCATCAAGAACATGGACGGTTGAGAAATGGGTATCTAATATGAACTAAGCATAAGATATACTATATAGATATAAATACCAAAATACATGTTCTCATTGAAGGGATATAAATGTGAAACAAATTACTTTTACACTCTTCATTCAACTATAGATACAAATTGGGACTTGATCAAAACATATCGATCATGACTAAATTGTAAAAGAAAAATCATTATTAGTAAGTAAATGAATTAACGAAAGTAAACCAAACGGATACAGCGATGCAGAATCAGAAAGCATATTGCATTACCAGTTTCTGGGAGAGGGGGCAATGAAATGATGTTTTTATCTCAACGCCCTTTTGGGTTCATGATCTGTGAGAAAACTGCACTTGGTGTCAAGCCATCAGAGTCTTCACTGGCTAAGCTCCGACCACCTATGCTCATGCTCATACCACTGCTCCTGGAATCCGTAACATTACCATCAAAACCTGGAGATGCGTTGAGGTCTTTCTTTCCTTTGCAAGCAACATCAAATGCCCCCTCCTCAATGTCCATTCCACCAATACCCTTGCCACTCTCCTCTGCACTCTCTTGTAGCTGCAAAGCAAACTCTAAGTTCCACAGCACATCACCCATTGATGGTCTTTCAATGCCCTGATCAGAAACACACTTCATTGCAGTCTCGGCAACCTTTTTGAAGCATTCTGGTGCAATCTTCCCCTTTAGATATGGATCAACAATTTGATCAAGAATGCCTTTCTTATGGCAATGAGCAGCCCACTCTGCCAAACTCACTTGCTCCTTTGGCAGTGTCGGGTTCAAGGCTGGTCGAGCGCACAGGATTTCAAAGAGCACAACCCCAAATGAATAAACATCAGATTTCTCCGTCAGTTGCTGGCGCCTGAAGTACTCAGGATCCAAGTAGCCAAAGCTACCCTTCACAACAGTGCTGACATGAGTGTGATCCAATGTAGGGCCAGTTTTTGACAAACCAAAATCGGAAACCTTTGCCACCCACTTCTCATCCAAAAGAATATTGGTAGTCTTAACATCTCTGTGAATAATAGTGTGTTTCGCACCAGTATGGAGATAGTGTAAACCTCGAGCGGCGCCAATGCATATCTCAAGCCTTTGCTTCCACGGCAGAGGGGGTTTCTGGGTTTTGTAAAGATGCTCACGCAGCGTTCCGTAAGCCATATAATCATAGACAAGGATCATTTCACAGTTCTCCTCACAGTAACCAATCAATGACACAAGGTGGCGGTGTCGAAGTTTTGAGAGCATTTCAATCTCAGTCTGGAATTCATGCACACCTTGCTCAGAAAGTGGGTTACCACGCTTGATTGCAACTTTAGTTGTACTACCATCAATTTCTCCTCTATAGACTTTGCCAAAACCCCCAACCCCAAGAAGTAGAGCCTCATCAAAGTTGTTTGTAGCTGCTTTGATCTCAGCAAACGAAAAGTGGCGGCAAAGGTTTGAAGGAAGAGAAGACGCATAACTTCCAGTAGTGTTTGTCTTGGCTGAACCAGCGGAGTGAGAATTTCCATATAGTGAAAGAGGAAGCCACCCTGATGGCCCATCACTTGCACTCGGGTCCTTCCCACGCCTACTCCGACGAGAGGCAAAAAGAACACAAACACCAATAGCAAGGACTAGAACAATTCCTCCAGCAACACTACCACCAATTATTGCTTTGTGATTTTTCGTTCCTGAGCCATGCGAAGGTGGAGCCTTAGATGGGTCGATTTCATCCTGTTCGGGAGCAGGGATTGGATTGGGCCCGGCAAGATTACCATTTGCACTTAGTTTGAATATCTCGGCTCCATTTAAGATCGAATCATAATAATTCGATCCCGATTTCACATTTGGATGCAGCGCAAGCCATAGATCCTGCTGTCGGCCATCACCTGGAACGAACATCACATAATCCTTATATACTGGAATTCCGTTACCCTTATTGTCTGTCCAGGCAATCACATCAGCCTCATTTGCAGCAGTTTGATTACCAAGGAAAATTTTGAAGTTTCTCTGATTAATTTCCGTTATGTCTGAAGAAAGCTCACAAAAATGAAGCCTAACCAGGTAACTAAATCCTGAGTCAACACTGAAAATCCAGGTCAAATTGTAATTCCGGTTGATTGTAGAATTTGGCCCCATCGACCTAGCAGTGGAATATACATTAAGAGGTGCAACATAAGTGGGCATGTCGGCGGGATACTTCACAGTCACATTCTGATTGGCAGAAATTGTCACCCCATACCCTGCTCCATAGAGATAAGGCTGGTCATCATACCAAGACCTAAACAGACCCGTATCATCAGAAGGCGAGATATCATTTCCACCCACATTCAACCGGTAAACATTCTCAAGTGCAGTAGTATTATCAATGTAGAACGGAGAATTCGTACCCACAATACTCAAAGTTCCATCATAAGAACTATAAATATCAGGCATTGACATCACCTCAATCCCATTCACAAACGCAAACGAATTCGAACCATTAGTAGAAGGACTAAAAGTTATATTTAAACTTTCTCCATCTACATTCACCGAATACTCCTTAATAATATAAGCATAATTCAAAGCTTCAGCCGTCTGAGCAACACTGAAATTATTAAGAAGAGTGTACCCTCCGGTTGTGACAGAAAAGAGAGCATTACTTGCATTAAACCCGTTGTATGAGTTGGGATAGAAATAAAGACGCACAAATTTTCGCCCAGACACAACAGGAAAACTATAGGTAAAGTTAGACGGCGAAATCCTAGCTGTCATGTAAGGAATTTCAGGGGTTGCAGCGTCTTGAGTGGCCGCTTTCGCAGTCCTGGACTTGCTTGATAACAAGAACTTAGACCCCAAATCCGGAGTCCAACTCCTGTTATCATCATCACTTTGCATTGAAGACTCTCCACAATTTATAAGAAGTTGCTCGGTTGGAACATAATCAGCAGCCAAAACAACATGAATGAAAAAAACTAACGAAGCAAAGAATACAACTTTAGAAGGAAAACAAGAACTTTTCGGGTTCTTCATGGACTCAAAACAACCAATTTCAAGGCTCCGAAATGAATCAAAACAAGCAGAAACACATAAGAGCAGACCCAAAATACAGATTTCAAACTAGATCCAACTCTCTGATAACATTAACTCAAGCTCAAACACAACAACAACAACAAAAAAAGCTTCAGATCCAGGAAGACAAGCTCAAAGCAAGAAGTAAAAGAGAAACCGATTGAGCTACGAACTTAAAGCCATTACAGAGACGGTGAGTAAACTTTACCTCAACAAAGAGAGAACAAACTCAGTGAGTCAAATCGGAGAGCTCTGTAGAAAGAGAAAGATGAGAGAAGAGAGAGAGAAAGAGAGAGTTGTGAATTGAAAATCCAGAAACTGAAATGAAGATATCAGAATTTTATACTTGTTTAGTTCTTAATAATAAAGTAATTCGTTGAGTAACGCATAATTACAATTTCATCCCTCCTATTTTGTCAAACCAATTTGCCTTCATAGAATTTTCAAAAATACTACGTTTATAACCTAACTTCATAACCCTAACGTGACAGTGGAATTGATACTATCACGTTAACCAAAAAATTTGAGTAGACATAAACGACCATTCTTTAGAGACGAATAGTCGTTTCTTCACAAGGAATAAACCGTTCATCTTTAAGAAACAACCGTTCGTGTTTAATCAAAGTTATTTAATACCTTGGGTGTGATGAGAACTGACATGACAGTTGTCAACTCAGCTGCCACCAGGGGCATATCTAGAGTTTTTTAAAAAAAAATATTTATATGTAATTTTTTTGTCTTTTTATGTCAATTTCAACTAAAAACATATAATATGAATATTATATGCTATTACATTTTATTTTGACCCATCCTAACAAAAATTTCTAGATCCGTTACTGACTGCCACGTTGGGATTGTAAAAGAAGATTATGAGATTAGGTTGTGAGCGTAGTATTACTCAAAAATTTTGTACTAATATTTTGTTCCCATTAGTAACTGAGAGTCTGGGACCAAAATGTTGCTGGCAGCCCGACACTGACAGGGACCAAAATGTTGGTAAAATATTTTATGAGACTAAAGGGACCTACGTCAAAACCTGTGGGACTAAATAGATTTTTGTTGAGTGTTTTCCATTGAGTTGAGTAAAGAAAATGTTGGTTAGGGTCCTAATCAGACCGAATTAATTAAAGAAACTTGAGCAGAACATGTGGAAAAGACGGAATTGACACTGCGGGGTGTATTGGTTTGTCAAAAGGTAATGGATGATGGTTGGATGACAGGTTGGTCATCACAGTCACAGCACAAACAGAAACAGGCGCGTTACGCGGTTTCCTAAACTGGTTTTATGATTGATTATATTATTATTATTATTATGGGTAGAATGGACCTTTGAGGAACTGGTGGACCCCATTTCCGTCTTTGGAGGGGCCCCCATGGCTTCAATCAGACGTGAAATACGGGCTGTGCCAGCTGCACGTCTTTTATGAAGTTTCCCTCTTATACACGAACCGTATTTACGTTTCTACCCTCTGTTTATGGGTGAAGACAGTAGAGCGGTACATGAGTCAAACGAAAATTGAATTTAAACGGTTAAAATAATTAGAGAAGGGTAGTTATGTCATTTACTAATAAAAATATATTATCTCCTTAATTTCATAAACTAACAATTTGGTCCTCGTTATTAGGATTAATCGGTTTACGATTTTACTTGTATATATTGATTGCTAAAGACAATTCAAACATTTTTTTTTTATTTGGTGATCGGGGTGTTTGGCCAGTTTGCATGCACTTCGACTAATCCTCTCGAGACCCTAAAGCTAATGACCAGGTAAACCCTTCAGTAACCACCCTTATTAACAACCGATAGAAATCGAACTCAAAACTCTTCTGGAATAACATACCTAAGAGTTTTTATCACTTTACCCAACCATCTAAGAGTGGTTGGGCATTTCAAACATTACATTCGTGGTATTCGTGTTGGGTGGTAGGTTTCATTAACGAATTTTATTTTATATGTTGTTTATAAGGATGGGTGTAATCAGGAATATTTTTTTATTCGGTTATTATTTTCCTTGTATAATGTATATTTATCAGTTCGATAAAAAATATAATCAACCTTATTATTCCCATAACAAATGATCTTAAAAATAAAGATTTTTTTTTTCATTATGATATAAATATTTAGAGAGATTGTTTTTAGAAAAGCATATACAATTTTAGAATTTATTATATTTAAAAAACTAATTAAAATGGAAAAAAGAGGCCCAATCAATCTTTACAATATGAGCCCAGTAGACAACCACGGGCCATGGGCCTAACCCCAAAGAGGGCGACTATGAACGGCGCCGTTTCGAGTACACCGCAGTTGCTGTACTGAAGCACCAAGTCAAGAGTTCTTTGTTGATACATTTGTATTCTGTCGTCTTCCCTGCAATTCCCAACCGGAACTCATCGTCTCTGTTATATTCTTTAAGAAAGAGTTTCTGGGTCAACGTAAAATGTCCGAAGAAACGCCTGTGGAAGTAAAGGAAGATAAATCAGAGGTAAAGTTCCTGTCTTTAGTGTTAAACATTCTCATTAGGCTTTAGCTAAGTTTATTTTCATTGTTTAATGTTAATTTTGTCTATGTCTATGAAGATTGCTTCATTCAATCTTACTAAAAAGAAAAAGAAGAAGAAGAAGAAGGTGCAGCCTGAGGATAAAGCTGACGAGTTTGTGGATAATTTGGCTGACCAAACAGAGAACTTTACAAGTATGTGTACTTTCAAACAAAATACTAGTTTTCCATCTTTTGGCATTTGTATTTATGTTTATATAGATAATTGGTTTATCATTGCAGTTAATGATGGAGCAGAAAGTTCCACTTTTGGCCTAAAGAAGAAGAAGAAGAAGAGACCTGTAAGAGAGTAAGTTTGTGACTCTCTTCGTTACTACAAAAATTTGCAACATATTAATGCATACTATGTGTATGCTGGTTTCATTTTTCTGTAGGTGAAACTTAATTTCTTCAATGACGAAAATGTCGGTCCAGAATCGGATTCTGATGGTAATGCTTCTGGTCTCCTTTTGAAATTATTTGATTCTGCTGAAAGAATGAATGCAGATGTAGTCATTCTCTTATAATAAAACTCCTAGCTCAAAGAGTTCACTAAAAGACAATTTTTGCTCAACTCCTTTTATGAGGACTTGATAAGGGTACACAAAAATTTATCTTTTTACCAACTCCTTCCGTTAGTAGTTTAAATTGGACTTTACAAAAATGCAGATGTTCTCCGGAAGAACTCGGTTAATTACAAACAATATATTCATCATTTCCAAATTATATAGGTGAGGAAGGAGGGGAAGAGGTTGCCCTGTCTCAAAATCCTTGGGAAGGAACTGATAGAGATTATAGATATGAAGAGGTATGGTTTCATACTCATGAAATTTTAATATTGACTCGCAATTGACATGCATAGAACTGTTGCATTTTTTATAGAGAGAGTAAAGTTTGATTTGGGTGTTTGGATGTGGGCTCCTATCATGATTTCTCATGCCTCGTTTGTCATCTGTTTACTAGTTTTGAACTGTGGTAATGTATAACAGTGGATGTGCTTCTTGTGAGTGTGCAGCTTCTAAGTAGAATGTTCAATATGCTCCGTGAGAACAATCCCGAGCTTGCGGGAGATAGGCGCAGGACTGTTATGAGACCTCCACAAATTCTTCTAGAAGGCACAAAGAAGACTGTTTTTGTTAATTTTATGGATCTTTGTAAAACGTATGATTAATGATTTGGTTTTTAGTTTTCATTATTTGCTTTCATAGTTTATCTTATTTTTCTGTATTTTAAGAGTTTAAGCATCACCTTTTAAATATATGATTTATAATTCACTGTGATCTCTGATAATAGTTTGTTACTTATCTCTATTCTTGAAATTATTTCTCTTGTTTCAGGATGCATAGGCAGGCAGAGGATGTCATGACCTTCTTGCTGGCTGAAATGGGGACAAGCGGATCTCTTGATGGGCAGCAGCGATTGGTAGTGAAGGGCAGATTTCCTCCTAAAAACTTTGAAGGGATTCTGCATAGATACATAAGTAAGTTTACAATCATTTAACTCTGATGTTTTGTAATCTTACCTCTATTTTACATATCTGACTAAACTGTTTTCATGTGAGTGGCAGTGTCTTTGCATTTTTTGGCCAATTGTTCATACTTCTTTTCCACTCCATAGATAGTAAGGAATAGGAGTGTGTGTGGTAATGTATGTAGTCTGCAAATTATATCATTCATGGTAGCTGTATTTTATCTTTCCTCGAAAAATGTTGTTATAAGGATGAATTTATAGGTTAAAATTTTCAGCAATGTCATCTCTTTCTGTTAATGCTTTTTCTGTTTTAAGTATTAACCTGAATGTTAGTTTGTGGTTACAGATGAATATGTAATATGTAATGACTGCAGAAGTCCAGATACAATTCTGACAAAGGAGAATCGTCGTTTCTTTCTCGGTTGTGAGCAGGTCTGTACAATAGTCTGTATCTTATGTAATCTGACATGTATAGTTAAGTTATGGTGCACAAATGTATGATATTTGAACCAATAATTAGTTTCATGCATGAACATGTGATCTAGTTTGGCAATGAAACCAATAACAATTAATCTGTGTTTCAACTCTTGAATTCACAATCAATTGTAGAAGTATTTTATCCGGAGAACAAATTGTAGGTGGAACTGCTAGGCCCTTTTTCCCCGTTTTCCTATAATATATTATCTATAATTCAAAATGCTTATCGGTATAAAATTTCAACTGCCAAAAAGTGTGAAGATGGAACATGAATTCTACAAAATAGGTGATGTCTACATGAGTTGTGCAATAATACTGGTTGCTGAATAGAGTAGTCTGTTTTTTTTTCCGATGTAATGATGCCTTTTATAATTATTATCTTTTTGTAGTGTGGTTCTGTCCGGTCTGTAGCTCCCATAAAGACTGGGTTTGTTGCAAGGGTTGGACGTCGAAATGCAGGGACATGAACAATTTTCACTGCTCTTGTTCTCATGAGCCTTTTGTAACTTATGAAGTTGAAATTCTGTATACTTATGTTCCATGAAAATACTCATTTTGACCTTGACTCTCCCTTCTTGTTGATTTTATCCGCTAAGTTAGAATTTGTCTTAAACTTTATGAATCTAGCGAGGTTTTGTGTAGTGATTAAACTGGTGGATGAGGTTCTGGGAACTTTTCTTTGGAAAGGGAGCAGTGAATTTTCCTAGGAAGTTTCAGTAATGTATCTAGTTCTCTCTGTTTATGAGTTCATGGACATGCATTCTGTCTATGGCATAGTATTTGAGATTAAGAGATCCAGGGACCAATATATATACTGGAATAATTCTTTTTTGGTGAAATTAAGAAATACAAAATACTTTTGAGGAAAATATGTAATGTAGAGAATTTTCAAAATTAATTTTGAATGCAATATTTATAGATGATTGATTATATACAAATCCAACAATTACGAAATTATCAAAGAAAACGACGTGTCATACCTGGGCAGAATGGAACCGACCAAAACCAGCTTTTTGGGTTTTGAACTTGTGGAACTCTTCGGCGTCTTCCTTAAATCCCCTTCGCAAAGAATCAATTTACAAATGGGTTTTTAGCAGGACAGGGAAACTGATATAGAAGGAAGAACTATGTAGCCTGAAGCTGCAAAAGAGACGAGCTAGAGACTAGAGAGGCTGACTCTGTGACTTGCGACATCTGAACTAGAATTTATTTGGGTCCCATATAATCGTGGGAGTTTAAAAACAAGACCCATTTAGCTTACCGTGGGAGTGACATTCAGCATCTTTACATACATATCCAAGTACGAAACTACCTACCTTTCTTGTAACCTATAGAATTTTCTGGATCTGCAAGAGAAAGTCAGAAAAGACGAGACAAGATGAGAACAGAATAAAGTTCTTTGCTTCAAAGGTAGAGAAGTGATCTCTCTTAAACATCTTCTTGCTTCTTACAATTGCGTTACTTTAACTTCAGAAACCTTGATAATCGATATATATATATATATAGATATGTGGTCCAAGAAGATGGGAAATGTTGTAGTGACTTGATACCATGGATTATCACAACATAAAATTTGGGTCCAGGTTCATTTTTTCACTGTCTTTTTTGATTTTCAGTGACACTCAAGTTGGAATGTCTTTGGTGTTGAGAATGAGCAATTTGAGTCAATGGTGAGGGAGCAGAGAATGATTTATCATGTGGTAGCACAAGTTCTAGGTAACTAACCCATTTGGAACACTTCTTTTTTTTGTTATTATTTGAGTAGTGCTTAGTGATCGGGTGTATAATTAATCATATTTTTTTTTTTTTTTTTCAGGATTTATGGTTGCAAGTTAAGGACGATGATGATTGGCCAATGGTGGAGAAGAAAGGGAACCAGTTTGTGGTTAAGCCAACCCTTTATGTTAATGGGTTCAATACTTACTGGCTGATGGTATTCGCTGCGATCAATCTACCAGGGGAAAGGTCAGTGAAGTGTTCAACAGCTTCTTCTGTGGGTCTAACAGTTTGTAGGACTTGGGCTTTTAACGATGGCCAGTGGCGAGCTCTTCGAAATCCCATCAGTTTATGATGAGGAAGTTTTCCAGGTACTTGTTCTCAGTTTTCATGCTTGTGACTTATACTAAATTGTGCTAATTCACAGTAGAAAAGTACTTTTTTTGGTTTTGGATTCTTTTAAGCCCTTTTACTTCAAGTTAATAAAGGATCCATATGTTAAAGTTCATTGAAACTACTCCATTTCTGTGAAAAGGCATTGCCAATGTTCTTCAAGATATATATCAGACTCCCTTTTTCAAATTGTAGGCCCTAGATTTTGTTGTAAGTGAAGCAAAGAAGTACAAGATCAGGCTCAATTAACATTAACCAACAACTGGGAGGCATAGGTGGCAAATCACAATATGTTAAATGGGGAAAAGCTGCTGGCCTTAATTTGACTTCAGATGATGAATTTTCCTCTATCCACTCTCAGAAGCTACTATAAGGCCCATGTTAAGGTGATTATCTTTAGTGCTTCTCCATTTGATATTTCCATGGAATTGTCAAGACCTTATATATATGACTAATGTTCCAGTCCAAACTCAATATTTGTATATATCGATCAGTGGCCCTAACTCTGTTTATCTCTGTGACATTGGGGCAATTTAGGCTGTGTCAATGGTCAATACTTTCACAAACATAACTTATAAGAATGACCCCACCATTTTTGCTTGGGATTGATGAATGAGCCTCGATGCACCTCAGACGCTTCTGGTAACACACTGCAGGTTTGTTTTCTTCCACTGTTTGATAGTGTGTTAGCTTTCATATGTGAAGTATATAACTATCATATTCTTGTAGTTTTTGGTATATGAATATGTCAAATGTCATTGTATCCTGAACAAGGAATTTTTCTCCTCTAGTTGGATACAAGAAATGCGGTCTATGTGAAGAGCCTGGATGCGAAGCACCTGGTGGAGATTGGATTGGAAGGATTTTATGGTCCCTCGACCCCTGATAGGGCCAGTTTAATCCAAATTCATATGCTACACAAGTTGGAACTGACTTCATAAGGAACCATCAAGTTCTTGGTGTTGACTTTGTTCTGTACACATATATGCAGACTCTTGGTAAGTACTTGATGCAATGAGCCTTTTTTACCACATGTTCAGGAACTATTGCAATTTTAATGTTCCGAGGCAATAGTTATTAAATACAGAATGAGTCCTGTGTGCACTATCACATCATAACTAGAGGCGCGGTGGGCCGTGCCGGGCAAAATTTTCAGGCCCCATGTGTCATGCCAGACAACCAAAACTCAAGGCCCATGGCCCGGTGGGGCTTGCCGTGCCTTTGTGGGCCGACCCACAATTTTTATTTTTTAATAAATTCGGGCCGTGCAGTGCCAACCCAGGTGTCAAATCCTAAGCCCACGGCAGGCCCACAGGCATGGCACGAAATTTTCGTGCCGTGTAAAAAAAAAATTGGGCTGTGCCCGCACGCTCTATAACACAACTTCTGTTAACTCAACTGAATTTGCTGATGAAGGATTCCCCAACAATATCTGATGCTCATATCCAATTCACCAAATCATGGATGGAAGCCCACATAGAGGATGCTGAGAAATATCTGGGAATGCTGTTGTGTTTGCTGAGTTTGGTGTATCACAAAAGATCCCGGCTACAACTCATCATACCGAGACACGCTTATTATACAGTGTACACAGACTCTCTTAAACTCAACAAAGAAAGGAGCAGTGGGGCTGGGAGTCTTTGTGGGCAGCTGTTCCCTGATGGTTCGACTACATGGATGATGGGTATGCAATTGTTCTTTCAAAATCTCCTTCGACGCACAACATTATATCTCTTCATTCAACAAGAGTTGCCATCTTCAACCACTTGTGTTCTTGGAAATGCCGTTGGGGTTGTAAGAAGAGAAATTCTCTAGAGGCTTTCCTTTACCATGATGACTGTAAAATAGTAATGGAAAAAACTCTAATATGAAGAAAAAAGAAAATTGTAGTCATCATAAAAATATACTGTTTGCTGCTGCAGAAATATGAATACTAAATGGTATTTAAAACAAAGCAATTGAGCCATGAGGGAGGAAAAATAAGAGTGCAGTGCTGTTGTCTATAGCAACTATAGATGAATTCATATACCATAATATTAGGGTGTTTGGGTTTTTCTCATTCCTATCAATACTTGTAGTATGCAAAAGCTTTATAATCTTTAATAACAGGATATAAGTGTCAACCACAGATAGGAATATGCCTCTTGGCGGGAAAACGAAAGACATTCTCCCCCACCTAATCTTGTGACGCCCTAGTCACAGGTGGGGTCTCCTGCCTACCTATCCATCTCACTCTGGAGTGGATCTACTATTACACGTGGATGATGTCCCTCTGCGTGGGCGCTTGACAGGACACTGAAAAAGGGATCGAGTTTGCTCTAATACTAGAGTTACGAGATAAGAGTTTCACACCTAAAAGGCTAAACCGTTAGGTGGAGAGACTCTCCCTTATGAGCCCAAGACTTCTCCCATACGCTTCTGAATTCTGATGAGGGATTCGTGAAACTTGCTGGCTTAGAATTAGAAAAAACTCGGGACTGGTATGACGGCGGTTTCCCAGCATTTGCAGTACACATCAGAAGACGACCACCAGAAGAGCTATATAACTTATTCCCCGGCTTCTGTGGACTTGCATTTGCAGTCATTACAATCCTGAGTTCAATCGCTACTGTCGTAATTGCGACTAAGATGTTCCTTACTGTATATAGGATGCCTCCATAGAGACTTCATGAGTTTTTTTGTTTTGATATCATGTAGACTGTAGAAATGGGCATCTTACCCACTTTGGTTTTGGTTTAACAATCTTGGGTTCTCTCTCGTCATTAGGTGTGCATTGTGCCACAAATTATTGTAACCATGAACTTGTTTATCAATAAAAAATTCTCTTCATCACAATTCCTTGTTCTACGCAGTTCCAACTTTTTGATTTGGAAGGTTAAAGCTGACTTCGAACTAATATTACCGCTTGAGGCCGCACAGTTCTTAAGGGAAACTTGGAATTGAGTGAAGTTCTTGTCCATGTTGTTGCCATGCGAATATGGGAAGAAACAGTGATTAGAAACCCGACTCGTGCAATAACCCGGCCAGGCCACCGGGTCATGGGTCGAGTAGTTTAACCGGTTTGACGACGTGTCACAAACCGTGTCTAAAGGTTTGAAATCTAAAAAAATCACCCCTAAAAATTACTGTAACTCCTCACATGTTTGAAATCTTACAAAAACACCTCAAACACCACCGTCGGCATCGTTAAATAGAGTCTGTTTCTGACGACGACAACACTCCTTATCACTATGAAAACACTCCCCTCAGCCTCTTGACCAAAACTCATCTCACCCTTTCCCCTGTTCGCCTCCCCAGTCACCTGAGACAGCGAGCTTTGTTTTGCGATTTCTGGCAACGCTATTTTGCGATTTCCAATTGATTTAATCACCAGAAATTGACACCGTTGTCACCATTCCACTCACCGGTCTAGAGGTGGAAATTATGGGCCGGGTTAGACGGGCTAACCCTAACCCGGCCCGTAAAAAAGAGGGCTCAAACCGGCCCGCCTTCATGGCGGGCCGGGTTGAGCCCAACCCGCCAGCCACCCCCGGGCGGGCCGGGTTACACAATGGTAACCCGGCGGCCCGCCGGGTTGCTAATTTGGCCTCTTTGGAAGAGGCCGCACATAACAACCCCCCACAAAAAAACCCCGGCGGGTTGCTGCGGGTTGGCCCCAAAAAAAAAAAAAAAAATTGGTAATATTTTTATTTTTTCAATTACACTTTTACCCTGAAATCTAGCCGTTTATAGCCGTTGGAGGGGTCTTTT